GCCAGCCTGCCCCTGCCTATGCTGCAGCCCAGAGCTCTGGGTTTGGTGCTCACTTAACTTACCCGCCCACGCCAGCTAGCAGAGGAGGGTCTGTATGAGGGGAAGTAAGGGGCTTCCAGTGGGGATGTCTGGGGGCAAAATAGCTTTTGGGGGGGTTGCTGGAAGAGGAGGGTTTTCTCCTCCTGGTTAATCGGCCCGAGCTGGGAAGCCAGGAAGGCATAGATCTGAGAGAGTGTTGGTGGCAACTCCTGGCTCTGAGGTGCTCTCCCTCTGCCCTACTGCAGCACACACAGAGGTGGGATTGACCCAGGTCAGTGATGTGAGACCTAGCTGGGATCCACTTTGTGAGCCACATCCATCCCTGGGAGTCCGCGCAGGGTCATCCCCTCCCCAGTGCCTTGTCTAAGTGTCCTGACCCACAGGGCTCCTGCCACTTCCCCTGGCAGCCAGTTCTATGGCCCAACAGATCTGACCCCTAGCAGGCCTTAGCCTTCTCTTTGGACTGTTTCATCCCACTCACGTCCAGCCCATCATATGACAGCGCCCCCTTTTCCATAACACCCTTCAGACAGCTGTTGCTCCCATCCAGCCCTGGCTTAGCCCGTTGGCCCTCCAGCTCTTTCAGGGTTTCCACTGAACTCTGGCCTCTGGGAAGCGTTAAAGGGGCCTGGCAGGGGTGCAGGCTGTGGTGCTAAGCCAGCAGGGTTTCTACAGCTACACTGGGGCTCAGCTGTTGTCTGGTGGCTCTGAGAGTGATGGGAGAGGAGGCAGTGAAGGGAGGATGAAGCATGGGGGCAGGCTTGCTGGCCTTCTGTTGCTGACGGAGGCACTGGAGGGAAAAGAGGATTGCATTTACCCAAGGGATCCTGGTTGGGTGAAGTGGCAGCTGGCTGTTCCTTTCCTGGATAACAGTTCAGTTGGACTCAAGGATCTGTAGCTCCCTTTGGGAGACCTGTATTTTTCTGACACGCTGGCTTGCATTGGGCTGCCGTAGCCATTGGCTCATGCAGGTTGGCTCATAGGCACTTGCAGCCATAGGGCCTAGTCTCCATGAGGAAGTGTTTGAGCTACATCCGTCCGCTGCCAAGGATTGGTGGGCTCCAGATTAGCATCGTGACCAAGGGTGATATGGGCTATGTGGAACTCTTCTGCATCTTGCCTTTCCTGGTCCGGAGGATGTCTGCCTGGGGCCTATGTATGCACCAGGTTGTCTTTGGTTGATTTAGCTTTGGCCATGTCTAAATGGGTCAAAGGATCCATGCAGGAGATCAGTGCAAGCTAGGGCGTGTTTGTGGACAAAGCCTGGGCACTAGTGACAGATGGAGCAGCAAGGGTCTGTCTGGCAGAGAGAGGCAGCAGGATGAGAGGGAAGGTGGAAGTACCTTCCCCATAGAGTGCCGTCTCTGTGTTGTGGGTTACTGGGCCAAGCCAGCTAATCCCAGCCTAGCTCACTGGCCTCTTTGGAGCGTTCTGCCACATTCTGCTCTTTGAACCTGCTGCCTTGTGATCTCTTTGCCGTCTCTCTGATATTAGCCAGCAGCTCTGGGCTCTTGAGCTGGCTCTTGCAAAAGGATCCAAGTTGCACACTCACTGCAGGTTCCCTGCCTGGCTCTAGGAACCTGCCACATGTATCGGTGTGACACTGAGTTGCTGCTCCCGTCGAGGCTCGTACCCCTTTGGTCCCAGTCTTCAAGCCAGGGTGGAGAACATCCCCCGTAGTCTGTCTGATGCACTCTCTGCCCTGCAATCTGCATTTTCCCAAGGCTGTAAATTTCCCACTGCCCTGCTGTCATCCCTTCGAGGCACTCAGTGGAGTAGAGCTCTGTTGTCATGAATTGGGGTGGTAGAGGCAGCAGCAATCAGCCAGCCTGAGGGTTGTCAGGGCTTCCATCCCAGGATTCTCCCTTGGGCATGTTCTGCTCCAGCATGTCCAACTCTTTGGGCAAGAGAACTGAGCTCCTTTTCCCCATCCAGGTGGCTGTGAAAATCATTGACAAGACGCAGCTCAACTCATCAAGCCTGCAGAAGGTAAGGGCCTCTGGCATTCTGACAGTGGGCAAAGCACCTTGCCAGCAGGAGGTGCTCCAAGCCTGCCTTCAACCAAGCATTCCCCTTCAAAGTCAACAGTCTCACCTGCTGTGCTCCTTGCCCTGCCCAGCCACATGCCTGCATGGGGGCCCAGGGGTAGCAAAAGCAAGTTGCAAGGGTTTTGCATAACTGCCAAGACTTGTGCCTCTGTGCTAACCATTGGACTCGAGAGCCAGGGATCCTAGGTTCTCTCCCCTGCTCTGCCTCACACAATGGGGGAGGCTACGTGTTGCGTACCTTTGTGACGAACTGGCTGAGTGACACAACAGAGCTGTGCGCCATGGGGTCAGTGCTAACCAATGGGGTGCCCTGTGCTCTGCCCTGTGGGGGCCTGGAGGTCAGTCAGCCTTGCCATGGTTCCAGGGGATGACCCGTCATTAACAGACTCCTTAGAATGGCGGGGTGAGGGGTGCTGAATGCCCACAGGCAGAGTGGCCTGCCCTGAGAGCTGGCTCTGTGCCCCTCCTCTTGGCTTGTGGGAAGCTTGATCGGCCCAGCGAGTGGCCAGAGCAGAGAGCCCTCACCAGCTGATCCCTTCGGCCTGCTCTGGCCATGACTGCTCCTCTAGCTGCTCTGCAGATAACCCCCAGTCCCTCAGGAGGCAGGCTCCAAATGGCAGAGGCTGTTGCCGCTCCGCCGCCTGCATGGGTCACCAGAAGGCCGAGCAGGAGGTGCAGCACACTGTGCCCAGAGTACTTTGTGTCCCGTTTGACTCTGAGCCTGGCACTAGCAGCCCTGCTTGGCTCGGCAGCTGCTGACACAACCTTGTCAAAAGCCTGAGCAGAGCGGCTGAGCTTGCAGCCACTGTAGCTTGCAGGGCCTGTGAGCACCAGGGAGGGACAGGCACGGGGGCCTGGACCACAAGGCCTCTTGTATCTCATTCCCCCCATGGCAGGATGTTGTCTGCTGCAGCCACCCTGTTGCCTCAGTGGCCCCCAGTACCCTTTGTATGTTTCTCCCCACCAAGATGCAGGTCTCCCATAGCTTCCCCAAGTCTTCATACCACTTCCCAGCACCACCTCTGGTAGTTCTTCCAATCCCCTGCCATGGGCCGGGCCCTTGCCAGATGGGCGCTGTTACCAGAGGAATCCCAGCCCTAGGCACTGCTGGGGCTTCTCCACAGCCAAGCTTGAATAAGGGGAGCTGGGAGACATGTGCTCAGCTTTCCAGATGCCCCCAAGCCTCCTGCCATGTGAGATGGGGCCTGTGGCCCATGTGATCTGGCCCCATAATGCTCCAGCTCAGCTGTGGGGAGGTGATCCTGCCAGCTCCTCTCCCTGCGACCCCTGATCCCTGGATTCTCCAGCTCAGGGCACAAGCATGCGGTGCCTTCCCCCAGGAAACCAGAGCGTTCTGCAGAGGAATTGCCCCCTCCCCCATACAGCCAGCCATAGCAACCATAGCATCCCTGGCAACCAGCATGGAGCTGTGCCGCCTACAGACTCAGCCTCTCCAGCTTGTAGGCTCCAGGCTCCTCTTTGGGCACATCCTAGGAGGGGGCGTCTAGTGGGTGAGGGTGAGCTCAGCCCTGGAGCTTCTGCATGGGCACCAAGGCTGCGTTTAACCCCTACCTGTCCAGTGACCTTCCAAGTCACAAGGCAGTTTGGTGTGCTGGCCCAGTGAGCTTCCAAGTCACAAGGCAGTTTGGTGTGCTGGGCCCAGCCTCAGTCATCTTGGGGCCGGGCTGAGGCTGGAGAAGATGCAGGAGCTCTCTTTCCTGGGGTCTTCTCACTGGCACAGTGCTCTCTGCCTTATTGTTTACCATGGTGTCCTGTAGGGACCTCTGGCAGATCAGAGCCCCGCCGCCCCAGACAGATGCATGACACAGTCCCTGCCCCAGAGGAGTTACGGTCTAAGCACAAGGCCTCATGCCTGACCCTGGGGAGCAGCTGCGTGCTGAGCAGTGTCTTACAGGAACGTCCTGAGCAGAGGGGAAGGAAACCTTGGCACAGTGGGCAGTGTGGGGGCATGTGCAGGCTTTGGAGCCCCCGGCTGCTTTTCTCTGGTGCTCTGAAGAGTGACATGCCTTGTCCCGCTGGAAGGCTCTGTCGAGGCTCGTGGGCCAGCACAGAAGGGATGTCCCCACCTACTAGCCCCAATGAGGTTTGCACCACTGGATCCACTTCGAGCAGGCATGGCCAAACTGCGGCTCTTTTGCCATGAAAGTGTGACTCCTAAAGCCTTCCACTCTGCCCCCCGTTCTCCACCTACTAGACTGAGGGAGGGAGCTGGGTAGTGAGGCAAGAGACTTCAGCCCTGCACAGAGAAGGGCTTTAGCCAGGTGCGCACCCCAGCAGGCAGGCCCCACGCCCTTGTAGGCGTGCCACATGGGGAGGAAGCAGTGGCAAGTTGTGAGTATCTTGCAGCTCTCATACATCTGAAAATGATCGAATTTGGCTCAGAAGGTCAGTAAGTTTGGCCACCTCTGCTGTAGAGTCTGAAGTGGCTGGCAGGGGCATGTCTGTGGCATGAGTGGAAGGCAGAGCTGACCCCCTGCTGTTTGTTTGGCCCAAGCTCTCTGCAAGTCCTTGGCTGTACTGTAGCCGCAGATGGAGGTGGGGATAATAGGCGGTTGCTAGAGGAAAAGCTTTTGGCTGGAGAGTATCAGTAGAGCCCCCTGCCTAGAGCAGGAGGCTGGCAAATAATGCCTGCAAAGCAGCTTGCTGCTTGCAAAGAGGCTTGTCGGCCCAGAGGGTGACTAAGGTCTCTAGTGAGCACTGGCTCATCTGTAGCCCAGATTAGCGGGAAGTGAGCATAGATGTCTGAGGAGCAGGGAGTTCTAGATTCCTAGTGTCTGGGGCTAGCCCGGAGCAAGCACAGGCGCGTGGGGAGAGGGAGCAGCATGTTCTAGATCACCCAGAACCCAGGCTAAGCCAGAGTGAGTGCAGATCTCTGGGAGCATTGTTTTTCTCAGCTCAGTGGACTGTGTGAAAATCTATAGCGGATTCCTCAGGGTAAAGGAGAATACACATGTCAGTGCATCCTGGCTGGGCAGGAACCCAAGTAGACAGCTCCACTTGGAGTATTTGTGGATTAGGTGAATCCAAGGGCATCCAGCTAGGAGGTAGCACTAGCCCCGGCAGCCGGGACGAGTGGCTCTGTGCAAGCAGCCGCGGCGTCTGAACATCTGGCTGCCAGTTCTCAGTTTGGCTCAGTCTCCAGATGTTGGCTGGGGAAGTATTTATAGCTCTCTCCCATGTATGGTCATTAGCGAGCCCACAGACCATTTAATTGCTGTGGTTTTGGGATGCAGGGAGGGGGGTGGGGTGGGATGGGATGTGGTTGTGCTGCCAGCAGAGGGAGGAAGGGGTCTCCTGAAAACCACTTTGTCATGTTCCTGCCAATCCCCAAAGGGAAACCGGGATGTGGAAAACAGGGCCGGGGATGGAGCCTCACTTTGTGCCCAGGCTCCAAGGTGCCTGCCCACTGCAGCCTGGGTAAATACTGCCAAGTTTGTGCCAGCGAGCATGGTAATACTCAGCCTGGGATCCTGAAGGCCTCTGGGTTTTCGTGGCAGGTAAGTAACCCCCCCCCTCCTCCCGCCACACACACACACACACACACTTACAGTGTGGAAACTGAGGCACGGCCTTATTGATGTTGAAGGCATTGGTGCAGTGTCCTCCTTCACCATGTAGGAGCACATGCCATATGCTGGGAGGCAGCTCCCCTATTTGGAAGGGTTCGTAGCTGGGGGGGTGGGGTACCTGCTTTCCCATGGGTTTCAAGTGGGTTGCATCCACCCAGTCCTGTCCCACCAGAAGCTGAGCAAGGGCCTGAGAATCCAGAGACTGACCTCAAATTAGCTCAGCTCACAATCTCCTTCCTTCCCCACACACCCGGAGGCTGAGCAAGCAGGGGCCATGGAAGATGCCGAGTGGGCGTCCCTGCAAGCTAAGACATGAAGGGAAGGAACAGAGAAAGCTCTGGGTTGTGTCTGTGCCTCGTTGCCTTGGTAACGAGGCAAGTGTTAGTCAGATCCCTTGGTATCATTACAACAGACAGCTGGGAGAACAGCGCTGGGGCCAGTGTGTGGATGAGGGCTCAGCCCCCAGGCAGAGCTTTGAGGGGATAGCTCAGAGTAGAAGGGAAATCAGCCCAAGGCAGAGTTGGGGCGAGGTGGTGGGAAGCTGTGTGTGGAAGAGGACATGTAGCCCTACATCCCAACCATTCCCGCTGGCCTGCCAGGCATGCACGAGGCCAATCATACTCATAGGCTGGCAGCATCCAGAGCATTGCCCCTTTCCGAGACCTAACAGATGTCCAGGCACGTTGCAGCACCCCTGGGGTCTGGCATCCTGGCCTCCGCTTGGGACCTGTGCCATGGGCTCCCTGTGCTTCCTCTGTGGCCACACCTGCCTGGGGCAGGACATGGGTAGACATCAGCCAACTCCAATATAGCAGTGCTGCCCCTGGGGGCTGTACAAAGCAAGGGGACAACTCCAACCCCTTCTGTCCAAGCGATACCTGCTGTGTGGCTCTCAGACCCACATCTGCTCCCTCTCTGCCCCCAGAGCATTGCCCACTCCGCTTCTCTTTGGGCCCTTCATGGTACACGCAGCAGCAGCTCAGGCTGGCTTGACACTCGCACAGAGCCAGACACTCAGGGAGAAGGGGGATCCATGCTCGACCAGTGTTCGCATGCTGAAAGCAGCCAAAGTTGTGCAGGGCACCACCCACCCTGTCTGCCCTGTACAGCGCTTCCCACCACAAGAGTTCCTGCCCTAAAATCCTATGCTGGCAGCTGAGGCACTGCACACCAGCACTGCCCCGGGGGCTGCTCTGGGCTCTGCCGTGGCAGAGGGTGCTGCATGAAGTGGCATCTCCTGAGACACAGGCCAAGCTCCATCCCCTGCTGGTTAATTGGACATGCTGAAAGCAGCAGAAGCTGTGCAGGGCACCACCCACCCTGTCTGCCCTGTACAGCGCTTCCCACCACAAGAGTTCCTGCCCTAAAATCCTATGCTGGCAGCTGAGGCACTGCACACCAGCACTGCCCCGGGGGCTGCTCTGGGCTCTGCCGTGGCAGAGGGTGCTGCATGAAGTGGCATCTCCTGAGACACAGGCCAAGCTCCATCCCCTGCTGGTTAATTGGTTGTGCTTGGTTCTCTCTTTATCTTTGCGCGGGGGAGACACAGTGCAGAGGCTTGGCCGTGACCAGCCAGCTGAAAGTGAGAGAGTTAGTGTACCTGTGCTCTGCGTGGCAGGAGGTAACGTGAACCCTTCCCCTCCAAATAAAGCAACTGAGACCCTCCTGCATCATGCTCACTTTGAGGCAAGATGGCCACAGCACTAACCTGCAACTCAGAACTTCTGGGTTCTAGTCCCACCTCTGCAGTGACTTGTGCCTCGGTTTCCCCATCTGTAAAATAGGGATAGTGATACGCCCATCTTTGTAAAGCGCTTTGAGCTCTGTGGATGAGCAGTGCTAGAGGCATGCTAGGGATAATTAACATAATTGTGTTCGGTGCCTTCGTTACTCTCCTGTTGCAGGTGACAGGAGGATCGGTCTCAGTACCTAATTACCCGGTCTGGTTACACACAAGCAGATTGCTTTGTTAATCAATGGATTTCAGTAACAAGCTCTGTACTCTGGGGGGGATTCTGACCTGACACCCACTTCAAGGGATTGCTGTGTTGTGCATGCTTTCACACACACACACACACACACACACACACACACACACCCCTACTCAACAGCCTTGTTAGATGGGCATTGTCTCTCCACTTCCCATTTTCAAGCTCGTTTCCTCTCGGACTCCTAGATTCCAGACTCTACTCAGCCTTTGTGGCCTTGGGCAAGTCATTTTACCTCCTATGCCAGTGCTGTGAGATCCTCAGCTATTGCCAGGCAGACAAGCCTCTGGCCCTGGTGGTTATCTGGGCTGGTTTCAAGGGTCCTGGTTCTATAGTAGGGGTCTTGGCCTTTGGGGTACACTGGCCTCGTGCTGCTGGGGTCCCCCCTTGCTGTTTAACCCCAATTGTGTGCTCTCCTCTCTGCTTTATTCCAGCTCTTCCGGGAAGTGCGAATAATGAAGGTTTTGAATCATCCCAACATAGGTGAGACTGTGCACACAGCTTGTCCCCATCCCATGCTCATGTGCTGGGAAATCGATGGCTGGGATGCCCAGGGGCAAATTCCTGCCCACCCCAGTGGGGAATGCAGGCTCTGGCAGGGGAGGGTGAAATCCCCCAGCCAGCTTCCACTCTCAGGTCTGGAGAGCCATGTACCTCCGCAAGCCCCGGTGAGCTGAATTTCATGCCGTTTGCAGTTGTGTGGTTCTGGGCAGCTGAGGAGCTCCCAGTGCTGATCCAATGCCAGCACTGGATGCCCAAGTGGGCACAACTCCAAGTGATGTCGGTGGGTTGGTGCCTGCCCCAGGTTTGGCCTTGAGATCCTCCTGTCATGACCAGTCTGACACCACAGCCGGCCCGCTGTGTTCCCAGCTCAGGCCAGCACTGCGGGGCACCCACTTCCCCTGCTTTGTGTCTTGCAGTTAAATTATTTGAAGTCATAGAGACGGAGAAGACTCTGTACCTCGTCATGGAGTACGCCAGCGGAGGTAGGTGCCTGCCCAGCTGGGGAATGCCCCCTACCATCCTCCTGCCCTTTGCTAGAGCAGACGGGTTCTGCGGGGCTCTGGACCACACCCTTCTCATATGATCATGTCTCTGTCGCCCACTGCAGGTGAGGTGTTTGACTACTTAGTAGCCCATGGAAGAATGAAAGAGAAAGAAGCCAGGGCAAAATTTCGACAGGTTAGTGCTGGTCCTGGAATATGCGGGTCCCTGATGCCTGGTGTAGGGGTGCTGGCTATTGTGTGGGTGTTAGCACACCAGCGTCTGGACTGAAGGCCATCTGAGACTTGGAGCCCACCATCCCAGCTAAGCCTAAGGCTGCAGAGGAGAGAGTCTGGCCAAAGCCAAGTTTAGCCTTGTGACACTGTGGGCTGCTGCAGGAAATGATGGCGTCTGTGTAGAGGGCACACTCGCCTCTCAGCCTGTGCCAGTGTGGTCAATATACCATGGGGCGGGGGGCAGGGTTCAGCTGTCCTTTTGGGCTGTACAGTGAGGTTGAGGGACACATAGGTAGACTGAGTTGTGATTGCGCCCCCTTCCCCTGCGTGGGCAGCTCTAATCACGAAACCCCCCATCCCCCTACATCTTCATCATCTCTTCCTTTCCAGATAGTGTCTGCTGTGCAGTACTGTCACCAGAAGTTCATTGTACATAGAGACTTGAAGGTAAGACTCACCCTCTAGCTGCAGGGGCTTGTCCAGCTCCTCTCCCTGCCCCTCAAGTTGACACTCCCACTAGATTGACCCCTGTCCTCCACACTCGCACTCAGTTTTGGCAACGCACCTCCATCCTGACCCTCAGCTCCTACTGGCTCAGCCCTAGGCTCCCCACATACAGAACTTTGCCAGCGCTGCCCCAGACCCATAGGCTGCCCTCTCTCCCTGCCCTGTGAGGAATGCCCAGGCAGTGGCGATACCCCTACCGTATTGCTCGTACCCTGCAGGCTGAGAATCTGCTGCTCGATGCCGACATGAACATTAAAATCGCAGACTTCGGCTTCAGCAATGAGTTCACGTTCGGGAACAAGCTGGACACGTTCTGTGGGAGCCCTCCCTATGCTGCGCCTGAGCTCTTCCAGGGCAAAAAGTACGACGGCCCCGAGGTGGATGTTTGGAGTCTGGGCGTCATCCTCTACACCCTGGTCAGTGGCTCGTTGCCCTTCGACGGGCAGAACCTCAAGGTGAGTGGGCATGGCACCCCTCCCTCTGCTACCAGAGATTCCCCTGTGGGGCACAGGGCAGGGCTCTGGCACCTGTTCTCCTGACCTGCACATGTGCTGAGCATAGCGCAGTTGGGGGTGGGAGCCAGGGAGCGGGTAGAACAGGGAGCTGGGAGTCCTGGGGTCTGGTGGTAAGGGCTGGGAGTCTTGGGGTCTGTTCTTGGTTTCCTGCCTTGTCTGATCCTGGTAAATTGTTGATGGGGGTTGGATGTGCCTCATGCCTCAGTTTCCCCATCTGCCTAATGAGGATAATTGAATCCCACATCTTCCCTTGCATTATAGAGTTGGGGTTTGTGTGAGGTCTTCAAGTATGAGCACATATGAGTCCATGCACCCACCTTCCTGACCATCTCCCCAGCTAACCCCTCTTTCCCCCCAGGAACTGCGGGAGCGGGTCTTGCGGGGCAAGTACCGGATCCCCTTCTACATGTCCACGGACTGTGAGAACCTGCTGAAGAAATTCCTCATTCTCAACCCTAGCAAAAGAGGCACTTTAGAGGTGATTGAGGGGTAGGAGGTCCTGCTAGCCCATCCCAGCCAAGTCTCCTGTGCCCCACTGGCTATTCCCATTGGGCTAGCGGGACTGTTCCCAGACCAAGCACAGGCCCAGCGGTGGCAGCCAAGGGATGGGCTCTGGCTTGGCACTGGAGCTGGGGGTGGTTGTGCACCCTTGGTGTTGTGGGGCCCCCTCTGTGGGGAGCTGTCGTGGAGAGGAAGGCAGGGCCTAGCACGCTGGTCCCAGAAGAGCGGCTCCAGCTGCCAGACCTTATCCCCTCTAAGGATGTTAGGACTAATCAACTGTCTGAGGCAGCAAAGGGTGGGGGAGGGAAGAGGAGATATTTCAAAGCGGCAGCACCACATGGAGCCCAGGGTGCGGCTCTTCAGAGCAGCAGTGCCGTCTGGATTCTGGGGTCAGCTGGGGACCCCCTAGCTGTGTGTGGCATTTCCTTGCAACCTGGGATCAACTGAGGACTCCCCTGCTGATCCTGGGTTCTGCGCAGCATTTCCATGTGGAAACGCCACACAGAACCCCGCTGGGGCTCTTGTACATTTCAAAGGAGGAATGCGGAAGTGCCTGTCGACTAGTCCTCTTCTCCTCCCCCTGGGCCAAGCCAGCTCAGTAGATCTACCTACCCTCCCTACTGTGGCTCAGATTCACCCGTGGGCCTGTGTAGTCCAGTGTCCCTTCCTTCCCCACCCTGCAGTCAAACCCATTAGCTCCTCTGGCCTGGGATGCCTTGATGCTCCCAAGGAAGGCCCGAATCCCTCTCAGTCCCGGGCCCATTGGGTGCTGAACACTCTTGTGGGGAGGGGCTCCTTCAAAGACTGCAATGGGGCTTCCTGGGTGCCTGCTGCCCATCCCAATGCTGATTCCTCCTCTTCACTGCAGCAAATCATGAAAGACCGTTGGATGAATGTGGGGCACGAGGACGATGAGCTGAAGCCTTACATGGAGCCCCAGCCTGACTACAAGGACCCCCGACGGACAGGTACGGTGCCAGCGCTCCTGGGCATGGTGGCTGCGACCCCTGAACTGGCTGTGGAGAGGCAGACAGACCGGTGCCCAGCCTGCCTGCTGTGGGTGGCCAGGCCTGCCTCGCCCCGGCCTGCGTACACCTCCCCGTGCCACCATGGGGAGGGAGATCACTGAGGGTCCAGGGAGCTCTGCTGCAGAGGCAGTGAGGTCTAGTGGCTGGGGGGGCTGAGACTCAGTTGCCTGCGTTCCATTGCCCACGCTGGGAGGGGAGCGGGACTTGAGTGTTAGAGGAGTGGGGGCCGAGAGCCAGGGTGCCTGGGTTCAGGCCCAGTCCCGGCACAGAAGCTGTTCCCCACTGAATCAAACTGCCGTGCTCATTTCCCCCATGCCCAGTGTCGTCGTCACCCCCGGTACCTGATGCTCGGGGGCAGTTGGTGCCAGCGTGTGCTTTGAGCTTGCCTTGGAGAGCACTGAGCCACTCAGTGCCGGCTGGGGCTAGAGCAAGCCAGGCCAAACACCTGGGCCTGCACCCTGCCCAGCTGCCTATCACCTGGGCAAGCCTCCCGGATGAGGCATTCAGTGGGGACCCACATAGCCAGATCCCCCATGCTGTGCACAGTTGGACTAGGGCTGCAAGCTGTCTTGGTGCCAGGGCAGCCCTCTCCCTCCATGCCCAGCGGTGGTCCCCCCGGACCAGGCAGGGTGTGGGGCTGTGCCTGGGGGACTCCTCACCACAGCATGTTTGTTTTCACAGAGCTGATGGTCTCCATGGGGTACACGCGGGAGGAGATCCAGGAGTCGTTGGTCGGGCAGAAGTATAACGAGGTCATGGCCACTTACCTGCTGCTGGGGTACAAGAACTCAGAGGTGGGTGCTGTGGGGAGGTGGGCTCCAGTAGTGCTGCCCCACCAGCCCTTCTCCTCCAGCCCTTCCTCTTGACCCCAAGGCTGGACTCCGGTAGGGAGCTGTTTTCTCATTGCCTTGTGATTCAAGGATGATCTTTCTGGGCAGCTACTGGGTTGAGCCCCTGGAACTGGCCACCTCAATGGTGACAACTTGTAGCCAATCCAGGCTTTTGGCAGGCAAGGCTGCTGCAGCACCTCCCCTGTCCAGCTCCCTGCTGGTTCCCTGGAGCTCTCTGGAAACCCTGGCCTGTCTCCTCTTTCTCCAGCTGGACAATGACAACATCACGCTGAAGCCCAGGCCCCAGGCTGAGCTGGCCAATAGCAGCGCCCCCTCCCCCTCGCACAAGGTACAGCGCAGCGTCTCAGCCAACCCCAAGCAGCGGCGCTTCAGCGACCAGGGTGAGTGCCCCGGACAGTGCCTCTCTGGCCACCCTGGAGCTGAGTAGAGCCGGGACAAACAGCAAAGCTGATGGCTGCTTCGCTCAAGGCGATGTTTCAGTTGGTTACAGCAAAGGAGGCTGGGAATCAGGTGACCTGGGTTCTTTCCCAGCTCTGCTGTGAACTCACATTGTGAGCCAGGGCAGCTGGCTGAACATTGCAGAGGGTGCTGTGAGCTCTGCTAGTGGGAAGGGCTAGAGAAGGGGGCCCTGCTCTCAGCCTTGGCTGGCAGTGGGTTTCCCCTCTGGGGTACCACTCCCCCGGGGTCTGCAGTCTCCCCAGCCTCCTCCCCCATGCCTAGATCCTAGGGCTGTGTGACAGTACAGCCCTCTTTCAGCGGGGGCTGGAGTCCATCAGCAAACAGGAACGCCAGGCTGCTCCAGTCTCCTGGCATGGGGGTGTCCCGGGCAGCTAACCCAGCACATGTACTGATGGGGGAGAGCCAGAGCCAAGTGGCGCTTGTGGTCTCCAGCCTAGTGGGGCGAGTGGTTCCCGGCCAGGCACTGGAGCAGAGCTTGCAGCCCCTGTCTGCTGGGTGATGGGGGCAGTACTGAGGTGGGCTGGTTCCTGGCCAGCCTGGGTAGTAGTGAGGAAATAGGGGACTCATGGCTTCTGGCTGGCCGGATGGCAGCAGCTCGGGGTGGAGGTTGGGCTGGTTCTGCCCATGCTCAGCCTGCAGGCCGGTCGCTGTCATTGCAGTCCCTGCCATCCCCACCTCCACTTCTTACTCTAAGAAGACCCAGAGCAACAACGCGGAGAACAAGCGCCCCGAGGAGGAGCGCGAGGCTGGGCGCAAGGCCAGCAGCACCGTCAAAGTGCCTGCCAGCCCACTGACCGGGCTCGAGAGGAAGAAGAGCACGCCCACCCCATCCACGGTCAGGGCTCCTGGGTGGTGGGCCTGGCTCTGGGGCGGGAGAGGGGCCTAGTGGGTGAGAGCCGGGTGGCGGGGAGCCAGGCTGCTTGGTTCTGTTCCTGACTCGATTGGAGACTTGCTCTGTGGAGCTGAGTCACTTCACCTCTGCCTTGGGGTGGGCCTGGAACGAGTGAAGGGGCAGCAGGTGCCACGCCCCCCCGTTCACTCTGTCTGTCCCCCCCCCCCAACAGAACAGCGTCCTCTCCACCAGCACCAACCGGAGCCGGAATTCCCCCATGCTGGAGCGGGCCAGCCTGGGCCAGAACTCCATACAGAATGGCAAGGACAGGTAGGGAATCCTGGGCACTCCTGGGGGCCACCCCACCCCTGGGAGCCCTGTAATATCACATGGGAGTCTGTGCTCCCACCTGTGCCACACTGGGGCTTGGCACTACCGCGGTCTTCTCTCGGAGTTGCCCCACTTCCAGGAGCGCACTGCATCCCAGGCTGAGGAGTGGAGATAGCTTCCTTCCTGGGCAGCAGGGGCCCTGGCATGGGTCCTCCCCTTCCAGTGCCCTCGGGAGCTGACTTGCTGCTCCCTGGGGCCAGCTGCTTGCTCATGTTGTGAGCTGGGCAGAGGTAGTAGCTAGGGAGGATAGGTAAGCCATGGGGCCGTGCCAGGCCCACACCCCAAGTTCTGGTGCTCACCGTGTGTCTTCTGCGCCTTCAACTGGAGAAGTCCCACCCCAGCACCCTGCCCACTCCCACAGCAGTTGGGCCCTGCACCTGGGTCCCTCCTCCCGTCCTTGCGCCTAGCTTCCCTCTCCCCCCTCATGCCTGCTGGCTCGACTCTGTGCGTCCCACTCTACCCTCCGCCCCACAGTGCCCAGGGACTGGGTCCTGCGATCCCGCGTTACCCCTTCCCGCCCAATGCCAGGTGACTGGGCTCTACCCATCCTGCTCTGTCCCCTTCCCTACCCCCAGTGACTGGGCTCTGGGTGCCCTGCTGCTTCTAGACCACACTGAGCTCAGACTGAGGAGCAGCACAAGGTTCCCATTCTGGAGCAGGACCCCCCCATCCCTTCCCATTGCTGCTGCTCCATCTCCACTCCCTTTCATTGTGCATTCAGCATCCTCCACTGCTGCAGGGCCCCAGTTGGGGGAGGGGCTCTATGCCCACCTCTGCCCATCTCACCTTCATCAGCACCCGCCCCTTGCCCATTCTGCACCTGAGTGTGTGTCCTCCCTCCCCATATACACATATACTGGGCTGTATATTGTATATCTTGCTCCCTGACCTGTCTCTGCCAGCATGGGGCTGTATCTCTCAGGCAGCACAGGGAGGGGGGTGCAGCTTTCCCTTCCTCAGAGGGGTTAGGGCTTCCTGAAAAGTAGTGGGATTCCAAATAGGGGTGCTCCCACCCCCAATCTCTAGGGGTGGTGGAGGAAGGCAGAGCAGGGCTAGAGGACTGAGCAATTGAGGCCTTTCTCTTCAAAAGGGGTATGGGCTCCAGTCCTGCCCCGGGGCAGGGAATGGGATCTGGTGCCTTTCCCCTTTCGGGGGCGCTGGCTCCACTCGAGCCATAGGGAGGGGCTTTCCTTTTCGGGTGCACACAGCAAGAGTCATTCCCAGATGGCAGAGCCAGTTCAGTTTGGCGCTCAGACTGGTGGCTAGTAGGCAGAAGGCAGCTGATGCTGATTGGCCCCACTGCAGTGCTAGAACTGGGTCCCAAAGAGCAACCCAGCCCCCCCTCATGCGCCAGCATTGTGGGGAGGGTGGGTGGGAGAGCACTATAGCCCCTGAGAGCAGGTGCACCTCTGGATACAGCCTCACATCCCCCTCCCTCCCTTCCCGTCCCTTTAAATCTGTGCTTCTCCCCTGCTTTTGTTTCCTAGTTTAACCACTCCGGGGTCCAGGGCTTCCACGGCTTCCGCTTCCGCCGCCGTGGGCTCCGCGCGCCCACGCCAGCACCAGAAATCCATGTCTGCCTCCGTGCACCCCAACAAGCCCATGCTGCCCCCCACTGAAAATAACTGTGAGGCCCAGAGACCCAGGCAAGTAGGCAGGCAGGGTGTCCCTAGTGTCTGCTCCCCACCACTTCCTGTGCACCCACCCCAAGTGAGCAGGCTGGCCCAACAGAGGGGGAAACCCCCATCTTTGTCCATGGTGGGTGGCACCAGGTGAGCAAGGGCAGCTGATCCCTCAGCCAGTGCTGCCCAGAGACCTGCCCAGTCACTCAGGGAGGAAATGGCTAATCCCACATTCCCTAGGCCAGAGCTGACAAGCCTGTGCCCTGCTAGCCACTCCCTACGGCCCCCCCACACTAGCTGTGTGCCCCAGCTGATCTGTGGGCTCAAGCCACAAGGGGAGCCTTTAGGGTCAGCTGCTGGAGATAACTAGATGCACAGCACAAGGTTGTCAGGTGACGGTCCCCTGAGGCTTTATGCAGCGAGTGCTGGAGGCCCTGGGACCACTGGCCGCCTCGATACCTCCCCTCCTGCATGTGAGAGTGCCCAACCCCCGGGCACAAAGGCGCTGCGCAGCGGGGGGCGGGGGCGGGGGCGGGTGTCTGCCTTGTGGTCAGGATCCTGGACTGACATGGCTTTCAGAGCTGCCTGTGTTTGCTGCACTTAATGACACTAAGGTATGTCCACGCTGCAGTGAAACACCCGCATTTGGCCCGTGCCAGCTGGCTCGGGCTGTGGGGCTGTAGAACTGCAGTGTGGACTCCCAGGCTCAGATTCCAGAGCCCTGTGAGCGTGAACCAGCTGGCACAGGCCAGCCACAGGGGAGGAGGGAGTCCAGGGAATGGGTCATTCCCTGCCATGGAGCCCCAGCTCTGATCTGGCCCTGGGTTGGGGGAACTGGCTTGCTTAGGTGGATGGGGAATGAGGTACAGGCCCATTCCTCTTCAGGGGGCACCAGCTCAAATCTGGCTCCAGGTTGCCCCACCAGCAGTGTCTTGGATCCATCTGGTCCTCAGGGAGCAGATGCCCAGTATCTGGATTGGCAGCAGATGGCACCTGTGTCAGGAAGTGAGTGGATGCTGACAGTCCATGCCCCCTAGAGGCTGGGGGGAGGGCATGTCTCCCAGCACTGCCCCCTGACTGGATCTCTACCCCCACCATAGCACTGCACCCCAGAGGGTCCCGGTGGCTTCACCCTCTGCCCACAACATCAGCAGTGCCATCGCAGAACGTACCAACTTCCCACGGGGTGTCTCCAGCCGCAGCACGTTCCACGCCGGGCAGCTCCGGCAGGTCCGGGACCAGCAGAACCTCCCCTACAACATGCCGCCTGCTTCACCCTCTGGGAACAGCCAGGGGCGCCGGGGCGCCTCCGGCAGCATCTTCAGCAAGTTCACCTCCAAGTTTGTGCGCAGGTGAGCCTGGGGTGTGTGTGTCTGTATGTCTGTGTTTGGGGGGAGGGGTATTGCTTCTGGTAGTTTGCCTGCTTCTAGAATCCCTACGTCCCCAGGCCAGGGAGCAGCACAGAGCCCCCTGTGTGTCTCTGGCAAAGGCACCTCAAAGCAAGCTGTGTATTGTGCTGTGCCAGGCACAAGGGTTGGCAACCCCGGGGCTCCCAGCTGGCTCACTGCCCCTCTGTGCTATCGTCTGCGGCTGTCTGTGTTGTGCAATCCTGATCTGGCTTAGCCTGTCCTCAGCATGGGTTGTAAAGTCCTGTATTGCAGAACCACCGTGTGCCCATGGCAGGGGCAATGCAGAGCTGTGTTTGGGAATGGGGGTCTGGGATGATGAGGGCTGCTGCTTGGGTTCTGGGGCACGGGCAGAGCTGTGGGGCCTTGTGAAATGCTTGCAGTCGGTATGGTCTCATGGGTTAGAGCAGAGGGAGGAGGCTGGGGGCCAGGACGCTGGTTCTGTTCCCAGCTCAGAAAGGGAAGGGTGCTGTCTAGGTGGATAGTTGGGCGGAGGGGGAGACTGGGAGCCAGGACTCTCGGGTTCTATTCCCAGCTCTGCGTCCAGTGACACTGAGGGACTCTGCTGCTATGTCCGAGTGGCCGATTTCCCCCAGTAAAATGGGGCTGATTTCAGGGGGCAGTTTGGGCAAGTGCTCTGAGCTTTACAACCGGGCAGGCCTGTCCTCAGGCCAAGCCTCTGCCCTGATTCCTCCTGGGGAACCCCATTCACTGGCTGCTTCCAGGAGCCTGGGCGAGGCATCAGGAATCCCCAGAACCAACACTCCCCGTCCTTCCTCATAGGCACTAAGCCACACTCCACCCAGCACTGGCTGCTTGCTTCTGTTCCCAGGTGGAGGTGGGGAAGAGCCATTGGATTGGGGGGGCAGAGCACCTGGGTTCTAGTCCCAGCTCTGGAGGGTTGGGGCTGAGAGCCTGGTGCCATGGGTAGATGTGTAGGGGTGGAGCTGCCCTGCCCCTGTGGCATGGCACCTTCACATCCCCACAGCTCTCCCCTCCCTGGGGCCTGGGTCTCACAGCGACATACCCAACGTTCTCCCTTCTCTTCTCTGTTTGTGTCTTTGTAGAAATGTGTCTTTCAGGTTTGCCAGAAGGTAGGCGTCTCTTCGGATTGTCCTGTCCCTCCTGTACTAATCCCCTCCCACCCGGCAGCAGCTTAAAGGGACAGTGGCCTTACTGGCTCTCTGCCTGGCATCACCCCCCTCGAGCCAAGTGAGCTGGCTAGAATCCCCTCTCCTGAGGGCAGTCGGCTCAGGAGGCGGCACCAGTTTGGGCATGTGGCCCTGCACCTGACTTTGAATCTTCCAATCCCCTGCATCCGTGGGGCTGGGGGAAGGGTCTCTGCCACCCCAGCCATAGCCTAGCACAGGTGGCAGGGTGGCATGGCACGGCACAGGGCCTGAGAGTGCACTGTCCCTTTAAGGGGGCCCTGCCTCTCCCTGGTGAGCAGTGCTGGGGCTCTGATCTCTAGCTGGGCCCGCCCCCAGACTAACCCTCTCCCCGTGCATGTGGCACTAGGAGTGGAGCTTTGTGGGTGCTCGCCATGGCTGCTAACCCGCTGGGGATCTGCTCTGGGGGCTGCTCTGATGGATGCTTGGCTGCTCTTGGAGCCTCAGATCCTCCCCAATGCTCCAGTCTCAGGTCTGCAGGGTTGGCAGTGGCAGGGTCCCCCCGTACAGTGGCTGGCAGACACGGCCGGACCCTTCCCCAGCCTGGCCTCCCGCCTGTGGCCTTGGCTGTCAGCACTCGTCACTTGTCAGGAGAGCAAGGAGGGGGGCCCCCACCCC